TTCTGGCCACCAAATGTGTGGAGGCTTTTCCTCACATCAGACAAATTCTGTGACACCAGCTGGGTGTCCTACAATTTAACTCAATTCTAGCACTACCTACCCAGAGACGGTGTCAGGTCCCAAAGATGAAGGGCTTGGTCCCACAGGACTCCTCCCGCATCACTTCAGATCCTGCTGCAGGTAGGAGGTCCCCAGGCTACGCACAACTCCTGTCTGACCTGGCTGCAAATAGGAGGTTCCCATAAGCCCCCTCCTCAGGTTTGATTAATTTGCTAAAGTGGCTCAGAGAACTCAGGGAGACACATTTACCAATTTATTAAAGGATATCACAAAGGACACAAATGAACAATAAGATGAAGAGATACATAGGGTGAGGTCCAAAGTGCAGGAGCTTCTGTCCCTGTGGAGTTGGGGTGCACCCCCCTCCCTGTGTGGATGTGCTCACCCACCTGGAAGCTCCCAGAACCCTGTACTACTGGGATTTCACGGAGGCTTCCTCAGATAGCCAGGATCAATTATTATCTCTGTTTCTAACTCCTGTCCCTGCTCAAGAGAATGGGTGGTGGGGCTAAATATTCCAAGCTTCTAATCACAGAGTGGCCTCTCTTGGGACCAGAAGCCACCAGAGTTGCCTCCTTGGAACACTCCTATCACCCAGGAAATCACAAGGTTTTCAGAAGCCCTGTGTCAGGAATCAAAAATCAAATGATAGAAGAAAAGATGCTCCTAATGCCCTATCGGGAACTGGAGGCAGAGACCAATACATATTTTTCTTCTATCTCACACATCCGCATGCAAGTTTTTGTGTGGCCATAAGTTTCAAGATACCTCATTTTTAAGCAGGTACAAGCCAAAGAGGGAGATTTAAAAAAAAGTTTTTAATATGTTGTAAATAAAATGGTGGTGATTCCATAACCTGTGGTACCTTTTCTTGAAATCTTGGGATTGGAATCCCTTTTTACAACCAGCAATGAAAAGATAACATAGGAGTCCCTCATCTGAAAGGCTTTCTGTGAACTTACTTCCTGCCATCTTCAGATCCAGAAACCTCCAGGTCTTTCTCAGCAGGCGCACTGCTTCTAAAAGCTCTCATGAGCTCATGAGTGGGCAGCACCATCCTTCACACCGCCTGTGAAGCTTGAGGACAGGGAACTGTGTCTTATTCTTCTTTGTGTCCTCAGATCCTAGCAATTGCTCAAAAAAATGTTTGTTGGATGAATACAGGAAGGGAGCAATTCTGTCTTGCCCCTACTCTAGAAGCTGAATCCAAATTTCCATCTATCTCTAGATGAATCAGTTTGTGTTTTATTAATTCTATTCCATTATTCAAAGGGTTTTTAGAAAACTTGTCCAACTTTGATTAATGTTTTGCAAGGCAGAAGATGGTGTTCATACTCCCATCTGGACACAAACAGCAAGGCCAAAGAGCAAGTTCCCCAGCTGGGAATAGAACCTGGGTCTTTTGTTGCAAACCAATCCCCTCTCTCCTCCTCTTGAGCCCAATCTCTGGAGCATCATTCTTTAGACAAAGAATGAAGTTTCGGATGTCAGAGAGGGACAAACTTAAGCATCCCTATTCTACAACATGCTGAGCACTCCTGTAGCTTAACTGCAGCTGAGACAAAGGACTGCCAGCCTTGCTCCACACAGCACTGCAAGATAAAGAGCAAAGAGGAACTCAGAACCTGGTGCTCTCCCCCAGCCCAGCCCGGTCCATTCCCTTACTCAAAGTTCAGCCAAGAGATTAGGAGCTGGGCGCTATACATACCTGAATTAGCTGGTTTAATCTTCACAGCAGGTGAGGTGCTGCCATTAATCCTGTTTTACAGATAACAAATCCAAGCATCAAAGAAATCTGTTGACTTGCCCAAGATCATCCAACTTGTAAATGAACAAAAACAAGGTTTTCCCCAGATCTAACAAACTCCAAGCCATGTGCATCAGTTTCCTGTGGTTGCTGTAACACAGTACCACAAACTGAATGGCTTAAAACAATAGAAATATATTCTCTCACAGTTCTGGAAACTTTAAGTTCAAAATCAAAGTGTCAGCAGGGCCATCTTCTTCGAGGCTCTAGGGAAGAATCCGTTCCTGCCTCTCTTAACTTCTGGTGGTTGCCAGCAATCCTTGGTGCTCCTTGGGGTTTATAGATACATCACCCCAGTCCCTGCCTCCATCTGCATGTGGCCATCTCTCCTGTGTGTCTGTGTCTCTGTGTCCAGATTTCCCTCTTCTCATGAGGACACCAGTCACAGTGGATTTAAACACCACCGTAATCCTGTATGACCTCATCTTAGCTTGTTCACATCTGCAAAGACTGTTTCCAAATAAGGTCACATTCACAGGTTTCAGAAGTTAGGGCTTCAGCATGTCTTTTTGGGGGGCACAGTTTAACCAGTATGCCATGTCTTCCCCCATTACATATGCTGCCTCATAGGAAAGATGAATAAATGTCAAATGCTTCATTCTCAGGCATTATTTGCTCTAAGTTCTGCTTGAAGACTTCATAGGATGGTGGAAAGAAATGACTGGTTCTTGAGCTGTGGGTTGGGGTCCCAAATGTGCTGGACACTAGAAGTGACTACTCTCATTTACTGTCCCTGGGCCTCAGCTCCCACATATGTGAAATATGAGTCAGTCTAGACAGGTAGTGAGGTCCCATTAGAGCCTTATGTGACAATGACAAGACAATATAATGATGAAAAGGTGAGCGTGACAAAATCTTACACAGCACCTCTCTCTACACAAATTATAGCTGCTTTAATTCAATTCAATAAATATTTACTTAGCAGTTCTATGTATCCCTTTCTAATTATATTGCATTTTCCCTAACTAAATGTTCCTTGAGGGGGTGATCATGCCTGGCATCTAGTGTGGGCTCAGGAAATGGTTGTTAAATAAACAGTAGAACAGAGAAAATGAACAAAAACAAGGTTTTCCCCAGATCTAACAAACTCCAAGCCATGTGCATCAGTTTCCTGTGGTTGCTGTAACACAGTACCACAAACTGAATGGCTTAAAACAATAGAAATATATTCTCTCACAGTTCTGGAAACTTTAAGTTCAAAATCAAAGTGTCAGCAGGGCCATCTTCTTCGAGGCTCTAGGGAAGAATCCGTTCCTGCCTCTCTTAACTTCTGGTGGTTGCCAGCAATCCTTGGTGCTCCTTGGGGTTTATAGATACATCACCCCAGTCCCTGCCTCCATCTGCATGTGGCCATCTCTCCTGTGTGTCTGTGTCTCTGTGTCCAGATTTCCCTCTTCTCATGAGGACACCAGTCACAGTGGATTTAAACACCACCGTAATCCTGTATGACCTCATCTTAGCTTGTTCACATCTGCAAAGACTGTTTCCAAATAAGGTCACATTCACAGGTTTCAGAAGTTAGGGCTTCAGCATGTCTTTTTGGGGGGCACAGTTTAACCAGTATGCCATGTCTTCCCCCATTACATATGCTGCCTCATAGGAAAGATGAATAAATGTCAAATGCTTCATTCTCAGGCATTATTTGCTCTAAGTTCTGCTTGAAGACTTCATAGGATGGTGGAAAGAAATGACTGGTTCTTGAGCTGTGGGTTGGGGTCCCAAATGTGCTGGACACTAGAAGTGACTACTCTCATTTACTGTCCCTGGGCCTCAGCTCCCACATATGTGAAATATGAGTCAGTCTAGACAGGTAGTGAGGTCCCATTAGAGCCTTATGTGACAATGACAAGACAATATAATGATGAAAAGGTGAGCGTGACAAAATCTTACACAGCACCTCTCTCTACACAAATTATAGCTGCTTTAATTCAATTCAATAAATATTTACTTAGCAGTTCTATGTATCCCTTTCTAATTATATTGCATTTTCCCTAACTAAATGTTCCTTGAGGGGGTGATCATGCCTGGCATCTAGTGTGGGCTCAGGAAATGGTTGTTAAATAAACAGTAGAACAGAGGGGTGGGAACACAAGAGACAAAGAAAAACAATGTCAGATCATGTTGACTTGCTTACCAAGTGCTGCATGAGTTTATGCCTGGTTTTCCCAAAGGGAATGTAAGATTCCAGGGCAGAGAGCCTTCCTCTATTTTCTGCAATGCTGGGGACAGGGCTGGAGACAGTAGAGATGCAATACATAGTTTAATTCCCTGCCCCCTTACTCATTTTTACATAAACACATAAATGTGATCACATCATACCTGTGGGTTGGTTTTTTTGTGTGTGTGGCTCCCTTTTATTTGGTTCTGCCTTTCCTCTGTCCTCTACCCCCCTGAGCACCCACCACCACCCAAACTCCTGCTGGGGCAACTGATATTAAGAAGTTGGTATGTTTCTTTCCATATTTTTCTCCATACATGTAGACCCAAAAACAGCACATATACGTATACATAAGTACTCATGTGCATAAATGGGGAGGTTGTTTGTCATTGTTTTCTACAAAAGGATCATATTTTAGATGCTTTAAAAGCTAAAGTATCTTGCTTTTCTCATTTCATAATATCTGGTGGAAATCCAGCGAAGTCCATTGGTGCAACTCTAATTTGTGCTTTTAAATGGATGCACGCCATTTCATGGTGTAAGTGTACTGTGATTCGTTCGGCAATTGCATGGCAATGGGCAATGTTTGATTTATTGATCACATGTTCTTGAAGAAGAGAGTTGCTGAGAATTCTCTGATCTTACTGCCAAATTATATTGTCCTCATTTACCACCTTTGTCCTCCTGGACCCTCTCCGCCCCAGTGTCCACACAAGCCTGTTGGTACTTGGAGTTCTGATCTCCCATGGAATCTGAACCCACGTGTTCTCAATATTTCATCTTAACGGGATCTGAGGCTTTTAAAAATGGAATCCAGACTTCCTGGGTTGTTTCCAAAGGAGATGACTTTCTACTTAATGGCATCAACCCCAGTAATCCTGTCTGAAATCTAATCAACACATCAGATAAAGGAAGAAAATGCCCTTTCTTAGTGAAATGGAACAAGCTTTCTGAAGTAAGATGCACCTCCTCTTGGTCAGGAGCCCGGAAATGAGGAAGGGACAGTTCCCAGGGGCCCTAGTGGGGGCTAAGGGACAGGTGAAAGCGGTGGTTCCTGCAGGGGGTGGGGTCCTCTGAGCTGAATCCACACTCCCTGGGGGTCCTTCCCAGAGCCCCCAATCTTCAGCTGCATTAAGGGAGCAACAACTAAGTTGCTTGTTTGATTGATGAGATTTTTTAAATTGTAAAACACAGTCATCTACATCCAGGTATAGAAAACATATATGTGAGAGTTTAATGAATCACTGTAAGTGACCATCCATTCAACCACCTCCAGGTCAAGACACAGAATATCATCTGCACTCAGAAGCCTCCTCCTGCCCCTGCCTACTTTTAGTTCCCTTCCTTCCTCCCTAAATGCAGCGATGTTCTGACTTTCATGCGAATCACCTCCTTGCATTTGGGGAAAAAAAATAAAGAGGCTTCTTTGACTCAATAATATGGTTTTTAAAAAATTTCTTGTTGAGCTATAACATGCATACATACAGTAAAATGCACAAATCTTGGTGAATTTTTGCATATAAATGTACCTGTGTAATCACTACCCAACTCAAAATATAGAACATTTCCAGTACCCCAGAAGACTCTTGTGTGCTCATTCTCAACCAATACTCCCCAATTTCTATCACCCTAGACATGTTTTAAGTGTCTTAAACTTTGTATAAATGGAATCTTGTATTTTTCCCACTCAATAATGGCTGAGATTTGACCACATTGCCTGTAACAGTAGTTAGTTCTTTTTTTATTGTGGTGTAGTATTTCGTTGTATAAATGTGTCCCTCAATATTTATCCATTCTACTGATAAATACTGGGTTGTCTCCAGTTTTCAGATATTACAAATAAATATAAATAAAGTTCCTATGCATATTGTTATTTGTGCCTTTTTTGCAATAATGTACTCCTTTTTCTGGAGTCTGATATACCCAGGAGTATAATTGCTGGGTGATAGAGTAGGAATATATTTAGCTCTGGTAGTACTTCCACATGAATTTCCAAGTAGTTGCATATATAGTAGTAGGTAATATACATGCTCATTGCCAATTTCTGAGAGTTCTAGTTCTCCCACATCCTCTCCAATGCTTGGTTATTTTCAATCTTATTAAGTTTGGCCATTCTAATGGGTATGCAGTACCATATCATTATGGTATTAATTTGTATTTCCTCTTAATGGCATTGAATCTTAGCATGCATGGCTTGAAGGGACCTAAAATACTATCTACTCCAATCCCTCCCTTCAGAAGAGAAACAATAACAACTCTCTTTCTCTCTCTCCCTCTCTCCCCTTCCCTCTCTCCCCTCTCTCTCTCTCACATAGACGCTGTCTGTTTCTCTGGAGAACCTTAACATTCACTTCATCTTTTAAGACTTAGTTTGCTCATCTATAAAATAGGAAATAATGAAACCAATTTTGAAAAGTTGTGATGATCAAATACAATGCATATAAAATTCCTAACACAGATATTTAACTGGTAGTTAGTAAATGACTATTAAAAAAGAAAACAGGTTGAGAAACTGCTATATACCCAGGTTGAAGAAAAATTTTGTATAACCAAGGGATGCAAGAATAATCTCTCTCTCAGCCCAGAGAAAACTACTGTTTATGGCTGTTTGTGTTTCTTCTAGAAATATTCTATGCAAAACCATATACAAGTGGAAGTATGCTATATCAATACTTCTGAGCCTTAGTTTAAAAAATATTCACATACACAAATTAGGTAGCATAAACTGTCTCTACATGGTCCAAGCGGTGTCCAGACCAAAGAAATATTCCCCAAACCCAAAAGTTGATTAAAAATGAACTAAAATTCATAATTGCATTTTTGAACCACATGATGGGTTTATCTTAGAAAATCCTGCTTTTCACTCCCATCTACTCAGCTCACACAACTGAGCTATCTTGCATTTAATTTTTCAAAATTCCCTGAAAATCTTCTCCCTCAGCATGAGCCCTGGTTCTCCTTCTGAATTCACTCTGGGTCCTTCTCTCCTCTCACAGAGGAAAAGCTCATAGAAACTTCCCTGGCCAGTATCCCTCACAGCTTCAGAAAGCGGAAGAAACTGTCATTTTTTTTAGAGGTTGAGGAGGGGAAAGGCTGGTGATAGGAAAGCACCAGCCACAGATGATGTGCCTTGTGCCAGGCACTGTGCATTACCTGTATTATCAACTTGATCCTCATGCAAACCCTACAAGGTGGGCGTTGTTATCATCCATTTTACAGATGATACAGGCTAAGTAGCTGTTAAGGCACTTGTAATTTAAATAGCTGGTTTATTCCAGAGGCCAGAGTCAAACTTGTGATATTAGAGAGATTCCCACTCACCTGCTGATAGATTTTGTCCAGTCCTCCCTCCCCTCTGTTGATGTTTCTGTGGACCTTCCCAAAGAGATGTCGACTGCCTAATGATGCTTCCTATTAACACTCCCTATTTACAGGTGAAAACCTCCCTTCCTTACATCATAGTCTTCTTAGGACCATATTTACTTCCTCTCTGGGAATCCTTGGGTGCTGCTGGCTGGAGCCTGAATGAATTCCTGTCACATACCAGGCTGGGAGGTAATGGAACCTTAAGAGTAAAACTCTTAAGGCTGTCTTCTGATCCCTACTCCTTTGAGCTTCAACACCTTAGTCACAGTGAGGAAAAGGGAATGTGGGAAGCAAGCAGCCTTTAAATGCCCCTATTTGTTATAATCCAAGTACCTACGAAGCTTATGGTGGTTTCAAAATAGGTCCACAGATTCTTTGATACTCCTTTCTCCAAAAAAATGGAATCTAACCTTCCCTTCACATGTGGGTTGGAGGGTTGGACTTAGAGACTCACTTCTAACAAATGATACTATGTAACAGCAGAGATACTACCTAACTTCCAAGGTTAGGGCATGAGAAGGATACCAGGTTTCCCTGGCTGCCTCTCTTTAGGACCCTGGTCCTTGGGATCTTACACCATATTCTGAGGATTCACAGGACACATGGAGAGGCCAGATGTCAGTTTTCTGGCCACAGCTAAGCCTTCAGCCGATGGTCAGCCTCAGCAGTCAGCCGTGTGAGTGGGTGAGCCTTCAGATCATTCCAGCCAAGGCCCCAGACAGTGGAACAGAGAGAAGCCATCCTCAAGGTGCTTGGCCTGAATTTCTGTGTCACAAAATCATGAGAGATAATAAATCATTATCGTCCTAAGCTACTAATTATTGGGCTAATTCATTATGCAGCAATAGACAACTGATAAAAAGCTGTTCCCAGCTGCCTCAGTTTTTAGGGCTATTCCACTCACACTGTAAAATGTCAGAGGGTGAATGAACTGGAGAACCATGTTCTCATTTGTTGACTGTTCTGTAATACGGACAGTGGAGACTCCTACCCAATGCTGGAGCATCCTGCGCAGGGAACCTGCATGTCTGTACCCACGGAGACCTGGAAGGTCAGCGATCTTTCCTCAAAGAGTGGGGCCACACCCGCCTCAGCGTTGACCAAGGCCTGCCTGGACATCTCAGGTCTGAGCTCCATCTGTCAATCCTGCCCCCTGCTGGCTGCCAGAGTTGGTTTATTTTTCTTCCTCAGCTCATTGGCACTTAATATTAGCTGGTGCCTCGGAGTAACAGCGGGGCCAGTACCCTGTGGCTTCCTAAATGGGGCTGTGTGTCACTGCAGCAGGGACTCAGTGAGGGCATGCACAGACTCCCGGCCTCGCTCTTTGGGTCCCAGGCAGAGAGCACACCTCAGTTATTTTGGGAGACTTTAATGTTCCCCAAGTCCCTGCTGTAAGGTGATGAATTTGACACACTTGCTATCTAACCTGCCATATGCTCATTTCAGAGCAGGGAGGGCGACCCGCCCAGAAATGTCCTCCTGCCAATTTCCCTTTGGGTGGGGCCCTGAAAATGCTTACTCAGGCAGCAACATCAACCTGTTCCTCCTCGGGAGCACCTTCCCAAGCTTCTCTACTCCCAGCATGGCTCTCTGAGAATCTTTCCAGTGGCAGGTACTCTGTCCTGGTGCTTCCCAGATGTTCAGTCCCCAGGACAGTGGCTGGTGGGTGAGCAGGGTGCTGGCCCTGAACCAGCCTGACCAGCCTACTTTGATTCCGCAAGGGAGTCTCAGGGACTTCCTCGATTTAGTGACTCCCGTAACAGTTTTCCGCTTGGAACCTCCAGTTCTGAACCATGCTGTCTCTCAGAAATTGCAATTCCAGTCACAGCCTCTCCTCTACAATGTCCCTCTGGCTTTCCAGTGGTCCTGGAAACGTGCTCATGCCGGGTTCTCTGTCTCTCCCTTTTCAGGCAGCCAGGATGAAAATGCAATTTTGTCTTACATCCGCAGGTATGACGGTAATTCAAAATGCAACTGGACACTGCCCCTTAGTTTCAAATCCTTAATAGCAATCCTCCACCCCTAAGTCGCAACCCGCACAAAGTCACTGTTCAGGTACAGTTTTAGAGAGGTCTAACAGTGAATGAGACACAGGCATTCCCCACTTTGCGACAGTTCGTGTTATGCCACCTCGCTTTTACGATAGACCTGCCTAATACCTGTGTTCGCTAACAAGAAATCCAGAGGATTTTTGTTTTCAGGAAAAGGGCAAAAAAGCATTCAGGATTTGTTCTGCAGTAATTACAGAGGCACCTGTACCCCAAGCAGCAAGAGTCGCCCCCACCAAGCTCCTTCCTCTGGATCCACACTCAGCATCAAGCTGCCATGGCTTTGAGCTGTGTCTGCGGCATCTGTGCTTTATCTCCATTTATTTTGTGCATCTGTTACAAGATGTGTCCTAAGGTATCAGAAAAGCCTAAGAGGTTATTTTTTGGGGGTCTGGGAATGCTCAAAAACTTTTCCCATGTAAATTAATTCTTCAGTTTACTCCATTTTGGCTTAGGTTTCATAGGAATGAATTACTTTCGCATAGTGGGGGGAACCTGTACACTGTATTTTTCTACTTCATTTAATTTAATGGCTGCATCGTGTACCATGGATGTACCACATTTGTTCAACTAAACCCCTATTAAAGAACATTAAGGTAATTATTTTTGTTACTAGACAAACAGCTGAACCTTGGAAACACACTCAAATGCTTTCCCTCACAGGAAAGTGAAGAAGCTGTTTCTTACCAAGCTAACCATGGCTTTGGAGCTTATTATGCCCCAGCCTGAGATTTGCTAGAATCCCCAAAAGTTGTGATTGCTGGGAGTGGGCCACTCAGGGAGGCCCAGGGGGCAAAAAATTACAACCAGCACAGCCTTTGAGGAATGGATTTTCAAGTCAAGGAGACTGAAGGACAAACCTCTAAAACATCCTCTGATGAAATGTAACCAAACTTCCCTGTATTTTCCTCCAGTTATATAATCCTCAGAACCCCCTTTACCCAGCCATGGCATATGTCTTCTTGGATATGCTGTGGCTGATGTCAGCCCCTCTTCCATCCATTCAGGAGGGAAACACTATGCTGGATAGTGATAGAGGTCTAATCAGAGCCCAGGCTTGATGGGATACGCAGAGGATGGTGGGGACTCAGGAAGGCCATCAGCAGTGACTGCTGTGTGCCAGACACTCGACATGTTCTTACCCTCTTAGTCTCAGGGCAGGCCTGTAAGGTGAGTGCTGTATCCACATTCTGTAGATGAAGGGACTGCGGCACAGAAATGTAGTGAAACCAGCCCAAAGTAGGCAGCTGGTGACACGAGGATCTGAACCCGGCAGTCTGGCTCATGCTCCTACCATGACACTGGCTGTTTTTCAATATCATTGAGGCAGAAGTAGTGGGAAGAGTCGAGGTAGATAGTTTTGTGACTGTCACAGGAACTAGAGTCAGGAGCTAGAGACACCCACTTCTGGGAGGAAGACAAGATGGCCAGGTGACAAGGTCACCAGAACAGCTGTTGGTCCCTGGAGGACAGGGAGCCCTAGTCCCTCTGTCCCCAGGCTGGGAGAAGCACAGCTCTGATGCTCTCCCAAACTCCTTCACGCTGCATTAGGCCTCCAGTAACAGGAGCCAATCTTTGTTTCCTAGGACCTGAAAGGGCCTAACCGACTTGCTTTATTATGTTAATTGTGCAGATAATCATGGTGAGCTAAATGGTAACAGAGAAGGAAAAAGATTAGGATGAATTAGCTAGTTGCTCCAGGGCCCCTGAACTGCCTATCAAAATACAAAGGGACTGGAGTCTTGCGACCTTTAACTCCTGACAAAGTGGCCTCTGTAACTTCAAGAGTCTGTGTATCGACCTTACTGCCAACTGAATTTTCATTGTGCTTCACAGTTTCAGTAGTTTTTCTTGTCTTCTGTGTAATTGTCACTCCAACTCTAAGAGGCTTGCCAGATAGGTATTACTGTCTCTGTTTTACAAACGAAGAAGCTGAGGCCCAAGGACGGTGGGCATTGCCCAATGTCAGGCAACTAGAGTAGAGCAGAGCTGGTCTGGAACCCATGGCTTTCCAGTGGCGTGCAGCAGCTGGGTCTGATCGGTTCTTGAGGGTCGTGTGTTCACCTCTCCTCCTAACTCCGCATTCAGGGACATCACTTAGTAGCTTGAAATCAGTCATGGTGGGAGTATTTACACCATGGAAACCAAGCAAACAGTACACATCCTGGCTCCCCCACTATCCCTGCTACCCAGATGTAACTCCAGGGAGAGGAAATCTGGGGGCAAAACACCTCTAAAACCAAAATCAGTCAAAGGGAGAAGTTTAAAACCCATTTATTGCTTACAAACTGTGGTCGGGGGCCATTTCTCTCTCCTGCTCCAGAAGAAGCAGGCAAGACCTCCCCCTAACCTCTTAGGTTCAGATAAGCCCTGGGTTGCCTAGGTAATTACCCACTGATATGGAGATGAACTACCACTATCCACCCCTGAGGAATGCCTGTTGATATGCAGATGCACTAAAGCCAGGTGAGATATTCTGGAAATATTACAATTTGACCCACACCAGAACTGGCAGTTAAACATTTACCACCACATCACTGAGAGTATCTCAATTCTTTTCAGGTTGGTGCTAAAGAAAACATATGGCCCTTGAGATAGAAGATGAGCTTAATAACTGGAGTGGGAAAGGGCTGGCTTCCGAAACCACTCAAGTTCCCCCATTGTGGCAGTAAAAATCATAAGAACATTTACTTTGTGCTTCCTAAGTAGCAGGCTGTGTACAATGTGCTTTGCACACTAATTTATTCCTCATCACAACCCTATTCTAACGATGAGCACGTTTGAGAAGTAAATTGCTCAAGGTCACAAAGTCAAAAGGTGGTGAAACTGGGAATCATATCTAGGTCTGTCTGAATTTCTTAATCATGGTGTCACCATCTTAGTTACTATTATGATTTCTTAAGTAGAGTAGGCTTCTTCTCAGTTCTACAGACTCCTTCTCCCATCTTGTAAATAAATAATGGAATTATACTCAAATCAATCAAGACAACTAATTTCTAAGACACAATGAATATTTTAAGGACCATCTCAAGTATCAATAAAATTGCATAACCTTTTGGACCATTTTAGCAATTTAAAATCATGGCCTATAGAGAACGTCAGAATTAATATTCTGTTCTCTTATTATTTCAGCCATGGGAGATGTCTTACATGATAACTGGCTCTTAAGCATCCACAATCTAATTTATTTATGAATACCTTGTGTTTATATTTCATGGATATTGTTTTAATTATTAAATCACTACATCTTGAAAGACATGTAATTTTGTTATTGAGCAAATGTTCTTCATGTCGATGTTTGTAATGCCATTTTATAAGTGTATGAGGATAAAAAGATTGCCTAGGTTTCAGAGACAAAATTTGTTATGTTTTTCTGGAAAACATTTTGTCAGAAAATAAATACTACACATGCAGAACTAAAGATCTAAAGTTCTTATCTTACCGATTAAGGGAAAACTACACCTACTAATGCACTTTAATCTGTAGTGTTTAGAATTAAAATCCTAATTCAGAGAGATAGGCTGATCTGAATTAGATAACCTAAATCAGGAGGGCAGTGTAACTGCATCAACAGAGCATGGATGTGGGGCTTGGAAGCATGGATTTGGTTTCCAATCCCAGATCAGCTGTTTTCCATCTGTATGACGTTGGGTGAGTTACTGAATTCATTCTGAACATCAGTTTCCCTTTTTAAAAATAGGATCAACAATACCTACC